ATGTATTTGTGTATTAATTTAATTTTTATGCGCAGATTCAGTCATGCAGTGATAGAATTCCGGCATGGATCAGAGATATATCACATGGACCTGGAAGAAAAGTCATTTGCTGGCCGATAATGTTCACCCGAGGATACACGTTTCACACTTACGATCATGGAAAACATAAATCCACGTTCAATTACGGAGTTTGTATAAAAAGCGGGTCATCGGAAGATCCTGATTTCTTTGGGGTTCTTCGTCAGATTTTCCAACTCCAGTATCCAGGATTAGTCGGGTTGAAAACAATCATATTCAGATGTGATTGGTTTGATACAACGTCGGGACGCGGCTCACGGAAAAATCGATGGGGATGTATTGACATAAACCTGAAACGTTCATATGCAAAGTACGATCCTTTTATACTTTCAGATCAGGCAGACCAGGTATGCTTCATTCCATATCCGAAACATTCTGCGACATCGGTGAAACGGCGACGGGAAGATCAATGGTCGGCTGTTTTGAAGATTAACCCACGAAGATTAATTATCGTGGATTCGTCGTCGACAACACAAGATCTCGATGAGCCAATGCAAGAGCAACTCGAAGATCCGGTTCTTCCCATCCGACTAGATGATGATTACGACGAGACACTTGCACTTCCTGACATAGACGACGAGTTACTTGATGATTCGTTACACGTACAAGACGATATAGACGAATTCGTTTCGGACCATGATACAACTCCGGATGATGAAAGTGATGAAGATTCTATATAGACTTATTTGTTTTTATTGTTTTCATATGTATTTGCATTTTGAAAAATCTATCATATTTATTTGTATGTTTGAGATTTTTAAATTTTTTTTAAAAAAAAATTGTTAAATTCCAACGGGCATCCGTTGGAATCTAATCGCAGAATTCGAATGATCACATATATTCCAACGGGCGTCCGTTGGAATCGAAGCGCACCAATCGAATCGACACCAGAATTACAACGGATATCCGTTGGATATTTCCAACGGACACCCATTGTAATGGTTGAAACATTGAATCCGTTTGCCTTTTCCAACGGATGCCCGTTAGAATCTTAATTTCCAACGGGCATCCGTTGGAAATTCTGAAGCATTAAATCCGTTCGACGCACCTGGCGTCCATCGCGTCATTCCAGAATATTTCCAACGGATGCCCGTTGGAAATGACGATTCTAACGGGCATCCGTTGGAATTTATCAGACAACATTAAATGCGCCCAGAGATTTCCAACGGATACCCGTTGGAAATCCGTTGGAATTTTCGATTATATAAGGGCGAGCGGCCCATTCTTCTTCATCATTCATCCAAGTCTCAAACAAAAAAAAAAAACGAGCAAAAAAAAAACGAGCAAAAAAAAAATCAACCAAAAGAAAAACATAAAATGGTAATTGGTTTTCAATTCTTGTTCAATTCTTTAATATTTATGTTTTGTATTAATAACTAACTATTGTTTTTTTACAGTTTCGTAGGCGATTTTCTGGTTCCGGAGGATTGTTAGCGGGTTCTTCTGGAGCACCGCCACCGC